GCGCGTTTTTTTCTGTTTAAACAAAAAAAGTTTAGGTATGAAAACGCTGAATGCATTTCAAACGTAGGTGTATATACAATGCAATAATAAAATTTGGATCTCATTCTCATACGACACCCGACATACGACAGGATGCTGACGACAGCAGCGCCCCCAGCCGACAATCTAAGATTGGAAGTCTAAGAGCGGGCAATTGTGAAGCGGGATGAACATGTTGCGTTTCACTCCAGAGGAGTACAAAGGACGCGAAGTGAGAGCGATTTTCTTCGGGCAACCGCCTTCAAATCTCATGTGATCCTACGCCAATACATCGCACCTGAGGATAGCTTCTTTACTAGCACAAAACATCGAATGTTTCGTCTTTTCCCCATGGTGTGCTTCTGTGAATTCGACCCTTCAATCCATGCGAACTCTTCGCTCTGGGTAATGTACATGTACAAATAACACTCAGCTCTTAGCCCGGACCTCGAATAACCGCTGCAGAAAAATTAATCGTAAATGGACTGAAATCCAAGCTACTGGAGATGGGTTAGTGCCACCATGTTATACTCTCTTTTCATTTCTGTCATATTCCTCTCTTGAAAGTTGAATGCCCTTTGAGGCCAGAACCTAAACCTTCATATGCCCTATTTAGGTCACGCTTGTTTGGTTGTCGTGTTTCTCTTCTAAGGCTGATGTACATTTTCTCTCAAGTGTGAGTGAGTGTTTTTCCCTTTTGTGTATTGTTTTTATGTACAGACACATTTTTACATTTGGATTGAAACTTACAGAACTGATGAATATTCATTGTACACAGGTCAAGTTAGAAGATTGGCATGATCAGGCCATTTATATAAAAGCTGTTCTGTTTTTTAACTTTTTTTCAGCATATATGCGCCACTGATAACACATTTCAAGGAAAATCGATTGGCCAATTGTCTAGAAATTCACAGGAGTGATCAGTCTTACTGAAATACAGATTTAGTTCGAAAATAAGCTTGACTGGTTAAGTTTTGTTTTTGCACATGTGTTTTTTCCTCTGATTTAATTCTGAGGCATGTTAACAGTCTAATTTTTTAACTACATGTAATTAGATATGTAAAGGTGTTCTTTTGGCATTTTCTGCACCTTAACAATATTGTTAGTTGATTATATAAAAATGATGGTAAACCTGTTATTGTGTATTGTGTAATAAAGTTTCAAAAATGGAAATAAACTCATATCTTTACAGTTTGTCAGATTCAATCATTCACTATTTTCAGAATCTCAGAATGGAGCAAATAGGGCATTTGAAATTGTTCTATTGATATTTTTCCTTTGTCAACAATTTTCTAAGTTGATCGTTTAAAGATGCATACAAAGTCAATTTTTGTCACAAAAACCAACCAAATGCCAGCATATAGTTTCAAGTAGTATAATTAAGAGAATTACCAAAAGGCATTGTTTAATTTTACCCGAAAATGATGTTTGAACGGATTTTTCTGCTGGCATTCTAAGCTGTATGTCAATGGGGCAGGAAAGTAGGTCACGAAAGTACTGTAGGTTAAATTTACAACCAAAAATTTAAAGAAAGGAGCAATTTAAAGGTCTTTTATGGCTGATCGAGTGATCTATTCAGTTTATCCCTTGGCATGTCGAATTTATTTGAGTCATATAAGAAACTAGTAGAAGTGGTTTACATGTGTTACTGGGAATCCACGCTCCACCGATGCTCGGTTCGTATGTACCTTTAACAAGGCAGCAAAGCTGTCAAATGTACAGACGAAAGACAGGAAATAACTATGCACAAAATAGGCTACTGTCAATTCTGATGCAAAAGAACATTATGTTAAACTGCAAATTCAACATCAAATTTTAATTATGCTCAACAGGTAATACCAATGTAAGTAAAATGTGTAACAAGTTCACGCTTTGAAAATGTATAACTTCCAGAAAAAGAAGCCAATTAGACTGCTTTTCCAACTCCGGCTGCATTTTAGTCCTGTATTTCTTTTTTGAAAGTTTGGCAATCATAAGTAACATGGTTTTCCCATAATGGTCATCATGGCAGCAGTGCCCAAAATAGTTTTTTTTTAATTTTGATGCAAGATTACATAATGTTTAACAGCACAATGACCATCAATTTTAGTAATAAAAAAATTAGTATTATGGATATTCAGAAAATGTGACTAGCAAAGGTCTTCAGGCCCATGGAACTTCAAAGTCACAACTTGAAAATGCCAAAATGTGAAACAAGACAGCACTGTTCTGATATGTTTTTTTTTCATTTTTAACAATTTTAAACATAAAACAAAATTAACAGTTTACTGCCGTTTTTATATGATCAACTAAGAAAATTGATGATATGGGAAAAATATCAATAGAGCAGTGTTAAATGTCCAATTTCTTCCATTCCGAGATTCTGAACATAGTGAATGATTGAATCTGACAAACTGCAATGATATGAGTTTATTTCCATTTTGAACATTTATTACACAATACACGATAACAAGTTTACCATCATTTTTACATAATCAACTAATAATGTTGTAAAGATGCAGGAAATGCCAAACAAACACTTTTACGTATCTTACTAACTAAATAATGAAACTGTTAACATGCCTAAGAATTGAATCTGAGGAAATGTGAAAAAACAGCATAACTTCTAAAATAGTGGCCTGAACATGCCGATTTTTGAACACTCAACCTGCGTTTTAGTAAGATTGACCACTCCTGTGAGTTTCATGACATTTTAATGTCTTGTCATGCAAGAATGTCTAACAACTGGGGTTGATACAATGTTGTTATCTGACGTTGATACAACGTTGTTATCTGAGGTTGAGTCAACTTTCAAATCCAATGATAATCCAACGTATTATCAACGTTATGGTTCAACGTTGTTTCAACGCTAAAACACGATAATTTGCCCGCTGGGATCCCTATTTTGGGCACTGCCTCCCCAGTGACCATTAAAGGAAAACCATGTCACTTTCACTTCTCCAACTTTAAGAACTCAAACAAAGAAAAGTAGCATAGGACTTAAACAAAGCTTCAGTTGAAAAACCTGTCTTATTGGTTAATCGTTCTGGAAATTATATAGAATAGATTTCAAGGTTGGTAAATTTTATTTTATTTATTTATTTTTTTTTGGGGGGGGGGGGTGGTAGGATGGGTAAATTGAAAAAATCTAATCTTACTTTTCATTTCTTTTTACAGGACAAAGAAGATGATGTCCACACCCGGACATGGACTTCACTCTTGGATCCAAGCTAAGGTTAGTAAATTTTATTTTTTGGGGGTGGTGAGAGGGGTAAATTGAAAAAATCTAACCTTGTATTTAATTTCTTTTTACAGGACAAAGAAGATGATGAGCGACCCCACCAGGACATAGACTTCACTCTTGGATCCAAGTTAAGGTTAGTAAATTTTATATTTCTGGGGTGGTGGGATGGGTTAATTGAAAACATCTAATCTTGTTTTTCTATTCTTTTTACAGGACAAAGAAGATGATGAGCGACCCCACCTGGACATGGACTTCACTCTTGGATCCAAACTAAGGTTAGTAAATTTTATTTTTTGGGGGTAGCGGGATGGTTAAATTGAAAAAATCTAATCTAGATTTTCATTTATTTTTACAGGACAAAGAAGACGATGAGCGACCCCACCCAGACATAGACTTCACTCTTGGATCCAAGCTAAGGTTAGTAAATTTCATTTTTCTTTGGTGGTGGAAAGGGTAAATTAAAAA